AAGCTGCTGTTTGAAACCTCAAACTTCATATCGGAATGCTGGTTTGAGTCAGATCTAGATTTCTGCTAACGCACCCAAGAGACAGTGGATGACAGGTCAAGTTCTTCGACCCCTGCTATCCATGTGGGAGTTTCTGGCTCTTGGCTTTGGCCCAAAGTTAAGGGAAATGTCAATGAAGATATTATGAATTCAAGTATGGTTACAGCATTGTAAATGAGCAACCCTGATATTGTTTTTTGAAATAATAATATCTCTGAATATTTATTAGAAGGGGAAACTGAGTCAGAACATCATGACAATAAAACATAAGAAGGATCTATTTGCTGTGGCTCAGTTTATCTGAATTTTAGTCATGGCTTTATAAACTGTCCTGCTGTGGAAGTTATGTGGTAAAAATAAAATTTGAATCAGAGAGTTCTCCAAAAAGGGCTTATAATTACTGAACATCTGGATGCAAGACATATTCATAAATCAATGTCATTCAGCTAGAGAACTCTGTCCTTTCCATATATCAAAAACATAAAAGAGCACACTTGAAAAGGTCTTAATAGTCCTTTTTAATGCTCCATATGTATAACGGCAAGTCATTTCATTGGATTTGTGACATGAACACAAATGGAAAGATTCTTTGTAGCCTGGTACAGTGGCAGAAATAAGGATGTCAAAATTTTCAAAAGGTAAAATTAAAGTCTGAAAGAAAAGTTTCTTTATAAATAATAACTCTGTGGCAATGCCCTCTGCTAGTTATGTAGGAACATCATAATCGAGTGCTCAGAATCCAGAAACGCTGTTTATACTCCAGCTATCCCGGGCCCCAATACATAGTCCAAAACCCACACTGCCCTATTGATTCTTCATACTAACTCAGCATGAACTTCTTAGGAAAACATATTTGAAATTAAAATTGATGTAAAAGTACACACATTTTGAAATATCTAAGGTTTAACCTTCAAAGAAAAAAAGTGGGGGTTTTTTGGTTTTTGTTTGTTTGTTTGTTTGTTTTTACTGATTTAAATTATTTGTTTGCAAGGGACACAAAGAGTTAGAGAGACAGGCAAAGCTAGAGATCTTGTGTCTACTGCTTCATTCCTTAAAATGCCCATGACAACTGTGATTAGGCCAGATCAAGGCAAAAAGTTGGGAGCTCAATTTGAGTCTCCCATGTGGTGTCAAGGACTCAGACACTTGAGCCCTCGCCTGCTGCTTCCTAGGGTGTTGGCAGAAAGTTGGAAGTGAAGCTGGATGTGCTGCAGTCATCCCAAGCGAGACACCCTTCCCAGAAGTTACACTTCTGAACCAAAATAGAACCCTTAGGCAACACGTGAGACAAGAATGTGTCTGAAATCAAAGGTAACAAGAGATGAGAGGATATGTCCAGTAGTCCCAGTATTGCTGTTAAGGTCTGTGGCAGAGGGAGAAAGTTGAGTGTGTGCCAGCTTTGAAGTGCAGTGGTCCACAGCAGATGGAACAGTCCCCCTCCCTACAGAGCTTCCTGAAGACAGCAGCAGCTGTCTGCCACGACCAAACAGCATAGTCTGGAAGACAGGAAGTACGTTTCCTTGTGGTGGTGCAATGCTGGGATGGGCAGATACCCTTCATTGTCCTTGGAAATGAAGAGGTGCATCAGCTTCTATGAAACTGAAGGTGTCTTCCAGGAGGGAAGAAAAACCCTTATTTCTGTCACTGGATATCTGCTCACTTAGTGACTTGACCTGACAGCAAATAGTGTGTGCAGAGGCTCCGCTGAGAACCAGGCAGTGTTGTCATAGCTGTTGGTACATAGTACTGCCCTCATGGCTAGGTGGTGTTCATAAAAGGTGGTGGCTTTAACCATCTTTCAGGTCATTCCCCTGAATTCACATCTGACTTGGTACAAAACCCCACCATGTGAACTTTGTTAAGAGATGTAAAGGTTAATGACTTAAACTGGATTTCACACATCAGGGAACCGGGTAATGGGAGGGGAAATGTCAAAATTATCTCTGAATCAAGTACAGGAGACTCCTGGAAACTGCCCATCCACGCTATCCTAACGATGCAGTTGGAGTGAGTCAGAAAGGAAAGGCCACTCCAGCCCATGTGCTATCTGGGAGAGAGGTCTCCAGAACTCAACCTGCTTGCCAGGAGCTCAAGGTTCTTTACAGGGTAATGAGAGTTACTGATTTTTCCTTGCTGGAGAGTAAATGCCAACTTTTTTCACACATTATACTCCCAGATGAAATTGGATGTATTTGTAGATTACATATTGTTTTAATATATTCTCTGGGTAATTTACACTAAATACATGTTCCATAATACTTAAAACAAGATGGATTCTAAAAATCCATTAGAAATAAAAAGCAACCCTATCTCTCATGTCCACTCAAAAAATCATGAATGTAAGTCAAAATTAATTTAACACATTTTCTATTTTAATTACTATGGATATATTATGTATTTCATTATTTAGTATGATTAAGTCCTTTTTCAAGATAGCTCTTTCTCAGAATTTTCCTGGTTATTATTTCTTATGCCTCTGAACTAATTTTAATGAATTTTTATTCCAACTATATTACACGACAGTGGTAATAGTGGAAATTTCTAGACTATTCCCTTCGTTAGTGCAGTCATTATATCACTTCTCTACTAGCAAGATTCTGTCATATGAGCTCAGTTGCTCTCTTTTATCATGTAAAAGAAATGCCTATTCGGAACTATGTAATTTAATGAGAATGAATCCTGACTTTAATATATGTCACTTTAGTATCTGTGAAAAGGATCATGATTCCCCCAACTAAATCCAGTAATGCAGTACAATATATTAATAGCTTTCCTACCATTGAATCATTCTTGAATTTCAAGACTACAACTAGCATCTTTAATGTGCCACTGGGCTCATTATGATCCATAATTGCATGTTTACACTCATCATTATTAATGTTTATTTACATTCATGTATTCTTGTATCTATATGAGAGATAGTTTGCATCTTTTACTTTTAATAAATTCTTGGGATTTTGTTATCAGTATTATCCCTATACAGTTCACACCATTTTCTATTACTTCAAGTGATATAAATAGTACTAAAATGGCTATTTGAAAAAATGTGATGATTTTGTGGGAAAACCCCTGCCCATGTACTGTTACTGAAGAAAGAACTTTCTCCCATGTTGTTTACAGGATAATTAATGTTTTGTGCAACTGTCACAGTGCAAAGTGAGTGTCTGCTCTGCTCTCATCTAAGGCAATTTATCTTCTCCCTCCTATAATCTGTATAGATTTCTATCTCCTCCTAAATCGATTTCAGGACTTAAATTTTTCCACATTACTAATTTTTTAAAAAAGATTTGCATTTAATTGAATAAAAAAATACAAGCATGAAAAATAAAATCATGGCATTAGAAGGAAGCATTCTCAATTGACTTTTGCACTATCAAGGCAAATATTAAGCCAACAATCTAGCAAATAACATGTTGATACTATTGAGAGACTGTTTTGATATTGAAAATGCCATGAAAAGATCCTGAGGACCCATTTCGCTAGTGATCCATATAGCATACCTTGAGAAGTACTGTAACATACATGGAATGTGGGGTTCCCCCAAGGAAAGAAGCAGCAAGGCACAGGAGCCACTTAGAGCTGCAGGCATGTAGTCCAGTGATGCGTTACCAGGTCTCCCTCCCATACCCGAGTGTCTAGGTTTGATAGCAGCCTCCGGCACCTGACTCCTGCTTCCACTTGAACTCTTACTTAGTGCAGGAATTGATTATGATCCCAGACCCTAACCGCATTCCCAGACCAGTCACAGCCACTATAGACTTTTGAGGAGGAACCAGGGGAAGAACTAAACTGATAGGAACTCTGTTTCTTTAACTCTGGTGCAACCTCTGATTCTCTCTCTCTCTCTCTCTCTCTCTCTCTCTCTCTCTCTCTCTCTTTCTCTCTCTTTCACACACATACACACACACACACACACATACATATTTCATTCAAAATACATAGTAAAAAAATATATCACAAAATTCAAGTCTGAGACATCTTAAACAAAATAAGACATCCTAGGATATAAAACTTAGGAACACTTAAGCAATTAACATCCTCCCAAAATGTTTTAAATGTTGCTTTTCCCAAGGAAAGAGGTACAGGTTCTTCAAAGTATTACTGGGGGGAAGATATTTGGTGGAAAGGATTGTTGTTTATAATGTCAGAGACAAAACCATTCCACCCACTATACATTCCCACGACCTCAGTCACTCTTCCATTCCCACAAAAGTACAAGTTTTCCAGAGTTGACCCTGAAGCAGAATGTCAGCACCACATTTCCTCACCCTAGAGCATAAAAATAAATAAATAAGGGCATCAAGGTAAAGCAAGAGTCATTCCACCAAGCACAAGACACCATGTCTGGGCCCGGCAGCGTGGCCTAGCGGCTAAAGTCCTTGCCTTGAACTCACCAGGATCCCATATGGGCTCCAGTTCTAATCCTAGCAGCTCCACTTCCCGTCCAGCTCCCTACTTCTGGCCTGGGAAAGCAGTCGAGGACAGCCCAAAGCCTTGTGACCCTGCACCCACGTGGGAGACCCAGAAGAGGCTCCTGGCTTCGGATCGGCATAGCATCGGCCGTTGTGGTCACTTGGGGAGTGAATCATCGGAAGGAAGATCTTCCTCTCTGCCTCTCCTCCTCTCTGTATATCTGACTTTCCAATAAATAAACAAATCTTTAAAAAAAAAAAAAAGACACCATGCCTTTCTGTGATTTCATCTATGCATGGGAAGTGAACTAATTAATTGTAAAAATTTTGTAAGAAAGCAGATCACAATTTTAATAACACAATCCTAATTACCATGAACAGAAGTAAAATTCCCAAACATGGTGTATAAAATATTCATCAGAAGAAGAGCATCAAATTAAAATATTTTTTCTATCAATTAAAAAAATACATTACAAGCTACTTGCTAAGTGTGTGAACAACAAAGAGGTGATACCTTCAGGATTGGAAAACACATGGCAGTGTTTATACCTTTGGGCATTATGGTCAGCCAGACAGACACTTTTTTCACCGGCAGTGGATTGATTGCTTGACATTCATATTGGCTTTGGCCATGCTGTACTGCATGGTCAATTCTCAAAGTTCCAGAGGAGAGAATGGTACCTCGGCCTGCAAAGGAGAGTTGCCCCCTTGCAACGAAGGAAAGAGAGCTCATTGAAGTGTGTCTGCATTGCCCCAGTTGCTGAAACCAGAATCACATGGTTGTCCCGAGTGACAAGTTGAAATAAGCCTTTCATGAATTCCTGGGGTTAGCAGGTACTGTGATCTCTCCTCCCTAATTTGGAACCCCCAAAACACAGTTTGATTTTGATCTGCTTCCAACTTCTGCTACTGTTTTGCAGGGAATCTTCAGCAACACAGTTTAATATCTTAAGGAGTTCCCCCGACTCCTTTTATTCCCTTCAAAGTCTTACAACAGTTAAAATTTAAACTTTCAAATCTCTCTCCAACATCTGGTAAACATGTGGCAATATTTAGAAAAAAAACATTACAGAAAAAAAAATAAACGCTAAGTGCGGAGTCCCAGAAAAACAAGAATGATGCTTTTTCAAACTCATTCTGATACACCTCATAGAAAATAATAAGAAGAATAAGCAAACAAATAAATAAATACAATCACTAATTCTTGTATCTATTAAGCTGCTGTATCCTTCTCAACAGTATTTTCTGTGATCACTAGTAATTAAATGACAATGTCATTCTCAACTGTTTCAATGAAAATTTGCTTCTTATTGAATACCTTATTAAAGAAGGAAAAATAACAATCTTTACTGAGTGCACACAATTTGCTGTTATTATTCTAAACATTTAAAGGTTTAAATGGATCCAAAGCAATCCCCTCCCACACTCCACAAATAGGAAACATCAACACCTGCAGTACAAAGACTTATTTGACCAAACTAATTTGCCTAAAGTTCTTATCCCTAGAAAATTCAGGAGCAATGATGTGAATCTAGGCTATGGGGATCCTAACTCCACCTCCTTTCCACAGTGTGTTCTTCTGAAATCTTGTAATAACTCATGGGAATATGCCAACCAAGGAAATTCACAAATGTGGATGTATTTCAAATCTAAACTAATAACTGAACTTAGAACTTAGGGTTCAAAGTCAAGAAGAAATTTGAGAAACTGTCACCAGCCAATTTTCCATCTTGTTTTGTAATACCTTTTAAGATGCTGGAATGACCTGGTCTCTCAGGGTCGGGGGCTTAGACTACCTGCCAGGACCTGCATCCCACACACACCCACTACAAACCTCAACTTTTTGAGAGTCTCACTTAGCATGGTCATGCTTCACTTATGGTTTCACTTTACGCATGATTTCATCTTGTACTCATAGAGATCCTCCAGCACTTTGAAAAAATATTTGAAACTGCTGAACTTTCTAATGATTTCATTTTAAAAGATGTATTTATTTGAAACAAAGAGGAAGAGCTTTTTCATTTGCTGGTAAACTAAAGTGGACTAAACACTCAAGCCTTTTGTATAGTTTTAACTATATTTTTAATCTCCAAAATATAAAGAAGGTATTTATTTCTTCCTGCAATTATGTTTAAATGTGCAAATACCTCCTTTTGTCCAGACAATTACTGGATTTGGACTTTGTTCTGCTTCACAAAGAAATTCCACAGCATGATCTTCTAGCACAACTTGATCCTTGGGGATTATTGTGAATTGTGGAGGAGCTAAGGAGAGCAGGATGATCAAGAATATTAACAACTTATAGGTGCTTATGTATGTTTGTACATGCTGGAAAAAAATGCAAAGTAGACATATCTAAGTTTACAAAGTAGAAAACCAGTAGGAAATAACAAGGAACTGTTTCTCAGCATTAATATTGCCAGGCAGATAATTACAAATAAGTCACTAAGGCAGTGCCACCAAGGCCCTCCACCTGGTGAGAAGCTAAAGGCCCGTACCCTGTGCTGGGCCCCACCAGAAAGCGCCCACTTGGAGGTTGAACTTGCGTTTAAAGTGTCCTGATAAAATGGGAGCTCAGATTAGTGGCAAAAAGTCTAGTTCACAGGCACATGATCAAGGAGCCCAAAGGTTTGCACTCTCAGACTTCAGTTACAGATCTTTATCATGATGGTATTGCCATCATCATCATACTACACGTTTTCTTTCTTGATTCATTCTTCTTCAAAATGAACTTCAATAAGCAATGTTTTTCTGACCCTGCTTTCCTCTCTCTTTTTTCTTGAAAAAGAATTGAGAAGGATCAGTGGCTGCCAGTGACAATATCATTAGATTCTTCTAGTTGATACCAACAGCTGCGATAAACATATTTAAAGGTGAAGATCATATCTGAACCATTAACAAAATAACTTTCCTCCAAGTTTGCATATGCAGATTAGCACTCAAAACAGGTTTGCTCTGTCAAGCTCCGAAGGAAAAATAAGCTGCTTAAGATAAATATTCCTAAAATACATTAAATTATACTTCAAAAAAGTTGCATATAAGTAAAAAAATCAGTCTAAATAATTAGATCTTTTTTAGTTGATTTCATATAAAAGATAAAGAGCTATAAGCTATGTACATTGGGAGTTTTCACAGTGTTCAAGGGAAATGAATAATCTGTACAAATTATGCATACCTTTTCTAATTTTTACGTGTAATTCCTTCTCTCCATGAAACTATTAAGGAGTCTTGCAGAACTTATATGAAGGGATCTTGCTTATATTTTAATAAATATGTACAAAAAATAATTTTAAAAGGCCAAGTAATATCCAGGTAGCTGTATTTTTAAAAGATTTTCCAAATGACTTAACATCTCTGGATTCCTATGTCTTTGCCAAACTCCCCCTGACATATAGGAACCAGGTAGGGGCACCAATAAAGACAAGTGAACTGAAATTTCTACTTTCCGTTCATTATGACTCTGTTTACTTGCCAATCTAAAATGCCCACTTTGCCATGATGCATCTATTTCTTCATCCAGGTCCAGGAAATATGAGACTTTGGAGAACAGAAGATGACCATTTGGAAGTCAAACTGTGTGGAGGCTTCATGAAAATCCAAAACAGCCTCAGACACACTGCACTCCATCAAGACTCATATTTAATTAGGGCACCACTCACTATGTCCTCAAAGAGGCAGATTGTTTTTGCCCTTGACTATGCTTGGGAATCCCTCTCTGGTCTCCGCCCTCTTTCCTTCTTTGCTAGCAGTGTGACTGACTCAGATATCTCTCCACTGGGGTTGGCTCACTCTTAATTATGAGTGTACATCCATTCTCTTTCCTTTTAAAATAAATCTATATCTCAATGTACACTGTGTTTATGCCTATGGCTTGAAATCTGTGTGGGGACAGAAACTTGGAATAAAGACTAGGATACATTGTAATATTATTTCCTTTGTCCCCACCTGTCACCTGGCAATACAAGAAACATGATACAACAAACACTATTTGCAAGACATATTTGGTTAAAGTTCAGTACTTCATGTAGTCAATAAAGATATTTTTTAAGAGGCTTCTGGGCTGGCATGTGTGCAGTGTCTTAAACCAACTGTGATTCCAACATCACATATGTACTTGCAAGTTCAAATCCTTGTCGCAGTTTCTTAGCCTGCTTCCTTCTAATATGCCTAGGGAGCACAAGACGTTCTATCCCCCATGAAGGAGACTCCGATGGAGTTCGGCTTCTAGCTTCAGCCTGGCTAAACTTGGGCTATTGCAGCTATTTGGGGAAGTGAACCAGTGGATATGGAGTTCTCTGTTTCTATCTCTTTCTCTCTTTGCAACCAATCCCTTCTTCCTTCCTTCCTTTTCTCTCTTTCAACTCTTCATTTCAAATGAATAAATAAAACAGGAAATGAAAGGAAATAAATCTAACACATGAGATTAGACAGTACAGTATAAAATGAATTGTAAACTCATGCAAACGTAAGAAAACTCTCAGAAATGTCTAGAAACTATTTGTAATAAAATTCTAGAAAAATGCAGTTGGCAACTATCTACAGATTTATATGCTCAGCCTCATCATCTCACATACAAAAACTCATGTCAGGGGAGGTAGAATGGAATTTTTCTCAGTCAGAACTTGTAAAAGGCAGAGACTACGTAAGAGTCTGGATCACTCAACCCACAGCCTCATTTCTTTCAGGAATAGGGCACTAATCCCTACAACTACAAGGAATCACATGAAAAGAGTGAAAATATTTCTACATAAAAGGGGAAAAAGATTCATTATATAGTAAAAGAGCATTGTAATAAAAAGCAGGTAGCAGTTAGGGTCAGCAATTTAGTCAGCTTCCAGTATTGTACAATTTGATTTCCATTTTTTTAATGTTAGTTAAAATTCACTGTTATCCAAGTCCAGGAGAAAGGCATTGCTTTATTTCAAGTAATCTCAATTTTCTTAAAATAAAAAGTAGAAGTTCACATTCCTACAGTGAATGGAAAAGTTTAAGCACTTGATAAGTTTGTTTGTTCCAGAATTAAAATGACCATCTGGCTGGATTGTTACAGAAATTGTAATAGCCAAAGGGAGGAAAAATGAAAATGACCTGCACATTGTAAGATACGTGTGCACATGTATATATTTGTGGGTGTGTATGTTAACTCTCTGGCTACTCATGACTTTTGTGACTCACAGAGAAAGCATTTTTTAAGTTATTTTTATTTTTTAATTCATTAGCAAGATAGAGAAGCAGACAAACCGATAGATTTTCTATCTATTGGTTCACTTTAAAAATGGCTGCAATATGGCCCGGCGCGGTGGCGCAAGTGGTTAAGTCCTCGCCTTGCATGCCCGGGATCCCATATGGGCGCCGGTTCTAATCCCGGCAGCCCCGCTTCCCTTCCAGCTCCCTGCCTGTGGCCTGGGAAGGCAGTTGAGGACGGCCCAAAGCTTTGGGACCCTGCACCCGCGTGGGAGACCCGGAAGAGGCTCCTGGCTTCGGATCGGCATAGTATCGACCCGTTGCGGCTCACTTGGGGAGTGAATCATCGGATGGAAGATCTTCCTCTCTGTATCTCCTCTCTGTATATCCGCCTTTCCAATAAAAAAAATAACAAAAATAAATCTTTAAAAAAAAAAAATGGCTGCAATAGCTAAAGGCTGGGTCTGGCCAAAGTCAAGAGCTTAGAAGTTGTGGATTGCAGGGACCCAAGTGCAATAGTACTTGGCAAGCCATAGCTCCAAATATCAGGAAGTGGCTTTAGAAGAATAGGATTTAGATATTAATTTAAATCAGCTGGATGCAACAAGACATCTAGCACCAATATATCGGCACTATTATACATTAGCAAAGTAAAGTATCACCCCCCTAATGCTATGATAGCATGATCACTTACGTTTGCACAGAAATCTACAGAAGTTACCATTAAAAAAGAGAAAGAAAATGAGTTCTCAATTTCTGGAAGTCAATCCTCCCATTCCCAAACATAAGTTGAATATTCCACCCAGAGATTCACATACATTTCCTGTACCCTATAAATATGCATCCCCTGCTATTCAAAGTACTGTTATCTAGATAGCAGCCAGTTCTTTGACTCTTGGAAATATAAAGCAGTTTCACGTGGGTAGCTGAAATTGATTCCTTTCTTCCCCATGTCGGAGAACCTCCTGAGGTTGGAGGAAGGGGCACAAATAAATGGGAACCCACAAAGTATCTCTAGCTGAATAGGATATAAGTGCTTAAAGTCTCTGACTTTCAAGTAAAACAAATGAATCTTTTTAAAGAAGTGTTTATTTTTATTGGAAAGGCGGATTAAATTTATGGAGTGAAGGAGAGAAAAAGATCTTCCATTTCCTGGTTCACTCCCAAATGGCCACAATGGCCAGAGTTGAGCTGATCTGGTTTCAGGAGACAGGAGCCTCTTCCCTAGTTCCCATATAGGAAAGCCATCCTCTGCTTCTTTCCAAGGTCATAAACAAGGAGCAGGATGGGAAGTAGAGCATCTGAGACATGCACCAGGGCATATGGGATCCTGGCACTTGCAAGGTGAGGATTCAGCCATTGAGCCATTGCCCCAGGCTCAAAATAAATACATAAATCCTTTTTTATTAAGAGCTAAAAATGGATAGATTACTTATAGAGATGACAATAAGAAGATACAAATTGCAATATTTAGTGTAGGCAAAGTCATAGGATAATGAGACCAATGAGAAATGTTGACACAGAGATGGCAATTGATGCCAATACCAGTTGTGAGGACAAGAGACAGAGTACAAGTAGATGCACATTCTGTGGCAAGTTGACTGGAAAAGGAAAGTGTTAGCACATTGAGTTGGGAAAAACAAGCAGGATAGCAAGTGTTATCATCGAATCAAATTAAACACCACTTGTTTTATTACTCATGAGCAAACTGAAAGAAGTACAATATGCAAGATGGGGAATCAAGAGTGATCCTGACAACCTCTTAACAGGAGGTCATATGAACAGAGCAGAGGAGAGGAATCCCAGAGTGGAGCAGGCAGACAGGAGGAGGCTTGTATCCCAAACCTAGAGACTCCCAGATCCTCTCCAAGGATAATCAGTACGGGCACCAGACCACAGGGAATTGGAGTGCCCTCATAGGCCTAGAAGTCTGAGGTCATTTATTCCCTATTGGATCTCCCACATGGGATGGAAGAAGCCCAGATCCTTCCTCACAGGATCTGATGTCATCAGAACAACAACCAGGAGCCCTGAGCAGTCCTCAGAAACAGAACAGTAAACTTCCTTTGCGACTTGGGAGGGGAGGTTTCTCTGGTCATTACTCAGTTCCAACTTTGGATCCCCACCCTCTCTTGCAATGACCATCAGGGTGGCTCCGGAGCCCCTCACTGCCCCCCGCCAAATTAGTTTAGACAGACAGAGACCAATAACGAATGGTTAGAACCAGACAGGAAATGGTCAGCTTGGACTCACATATACCTTACTAGGTAGGACACAAAAATTAGTTGCTCCTCACTAAGGTATTGAAGACTTCTCTGCACACCCCTCCTAAAACTGCTCTGTGCCTCAATTGTTGACATATGCCTTGTTAGACTTATAAGCCCTTGTTTGGACTATCCTAACTATTGCCAAGTTCAGTAAAAATTACGCTTCAATACTATAAACTGCTATATACAAAAATGAAAACAGACATGAGACAGCTGAATAGTACCCTACAGCCATTTTAGGGTGTATATCAGCTGACTGTATATAAGCTAAAATTGAAATGTCAATGAAGTAGTCACAGGATATGGTTAAGAACTTGCATTTTCTAACATATTGGTCACTCAATACCATGTTAATTAACTCCATAATGTTGTAAATTGTTGATGTTATATTGTGGCTTTTCATTCGATGGGATGATATTCTGCCAGCTCTGCTTTCAGACCAGAAATGGTCTCCCCAAGAAACTGTTGAATTTATCTGGACAATAAGATGCTGGACTCTATGAATGGTACATGCTTGCAATGAAGGAATCATGACTGGATTTGAGCTGTAATACTGCAACAATGTGGAGGAATCCACCATGGGGGGAGGAGTTAGGGGAATCCCAGAGCCTATGAAACTGTGTCATAACATGAAATGACATTTAAAAGAAAAAGAAGCAGCTGAAAAACAGAACAACAGTGTGAAATAAAGGAGACTGTTAAAGGGGAAATCTATGATTAGGCATTGTATTTGTAAAAAACAAAACCATGAACAAAGACATTCAGCATTAACTAATACCAGACACATACATCCCCGCAAAAAACACTATTTTCAGTACATTTTTCAATCTCACCACATGGAAAATCTATAAACAATATTTGAATGTTTCAAAGTAATTTCCTGTGCCCAGGGCCATAACCTAGTGGCTGACATCCTCGACTTGTGTGCGCTGGAATTACATACCCTGGCCACTCCATTTCCCTTCCAACTCTCTGCCTGTGGCCTGGAAAAGCAGTAGAGTTGAGCCTAAAGCCTTGGGACCCTGCATCTTCGTGGGAGATCAAGAAGAAGCTTCTGCCTTTGGATCAACTCAGCTCTGGTGGTTGTGGCTACTTGGAGAGTGAACCAGTGGATGGAAGATCTTTCTCCCTGCTTCTCCTTCTTTCTGTAAATCTGAATTTCCAATAAAAATAAATAAATATTTTTACTAAATAAATAAAGGAAATTTTCTTGGGTCCACCTGTGCTGTGCATGACTGGTCCATAAGCAGCAGGGTTTGGGGAGTCCCACAGGGCTGGGTTTGCCTTGCCTGGGTCCTTGGAGCTGCCTACACAGTGGGTCTGAAAGGCCCGGGGACAGGGTTTGGGCAAGTCCTGGGTCTTCTGGCCAACATCATTGGGTTCAGCTGTGAGAACTGGTCCTCTTCAGTGTAAAGGATGGACATTGTGCACATAGAGGATATGGTAGCCCCTTGGGGCCTGCAGAGGACATTTGGCACCATAGCAGAAGAAGGAGAAAAGAACAAATTAAACAACTACCTTTGCCAAACAATGACAACAAAAATCTGGTCGAACACAGAGTCTAAGCTCAACAATGTCAGCCAATGAACATTGAAAGGGATTTCTTCATCATTGGATTGTCCAGATAGAGAGCATTTAAGAACTATCAAAACCACCTAGGTACAACTCCCAGAGCATGTGTCACACTGGGACCTCTGGTTGATAATGAGTGACCATTCCCCATCTCTAGGTGCTGTGGTGGTTGAAAGGTGCCTCCCCTTATAGCTTCCCCCTCACAGAAACAGGAAGAAGAAATAGAAAATTTGGAAACAATGACCACACCCACTTTTCCCTAACTTTCAATCCTTCCCACCCTTATCAACTATGTAAATATTATCAAAAACAAAAATTTTAAATATATAAAAATATAAATATATCAGAAATAGTAAATAAATGTATATAATATAAAGAACATAACTAGTAAAAAAATAATAATTTCTCCTAAGAATTGTCAGATGCCAATGGAAAAAATTTCATTTGTATATCTTCGTTTCAGAGCAAGAAGAATGTATTTTTTTATACAAGCATTTTTAGTGGAAAATGTATTTTTTCTTCAGATATGTTAGTGGAAATGAGAAAATTTTTTATCTTTTGCTAATTAAGGAGTTGATGCTAAACAGTCCAATTCAGAGAATATTTCCTGTAGAATACAGAAACTGGCCGAGGTCCTCTGTCTTTTGCATGACAACACCACTTACACCCTGACAGCCCCTCACTGGTGTCGCACTGAGATGAACAGCTCCATAATTCTAAACATAATTCTAAATTTTTATCATTCTCAGCACCCATCCAGGATTTTGATAGATAATATCCTGCATAAATCTATAAATGGTTCCAAGGGGAATTTTAAAATGAATCCTTGTAAATCATTTTACCCTTGTCAACTTGTTTAAAAAACTGCTTTGAGTGGTACTGAACTTCTAACATCACTCTTGGTAACATATGTTCTTCTGTTTACTAAACTTCTTAGTCTAGAAGAGGATTTAGCTCCTACACACATGCACATACTCTCTCACACACACACACTAGAAGGAAAGGGGAAGTTCCAGTTAAGAACAAAAGAACAACAGCATGCTTATGCATATTAATTTGCTTCCCGGGTATAAAACAGTGTTGTTATTGCTGTTGCTCGATGGTCCAGGTACTGATGACAGCACTCTGCATATCCTCAAGCTATGTTGAGCAGACAGCTTGGTAAGTGGCTCTGAACTTGGGTGCACAGCCTTTTCATATTCATAGATGAAGCGTCTTTCCTTTTCCTGCAAAATATTCTGCTGCACAAATACCTTTTGACAGTTTACCGCTGGATTAATGATTCATCTCTTTTATCACTAATGGTTGATGTTGGCATTTGGATAAAGATTGAAATGACAAAAAATATCATCTTATAACTTGAAACAGATTAGCTTTGAAAGTTCTATTGCATCAAGAAAAATAAATAAATGAAAACGGCAAATAAAAATATCTCTCCTCTGATGTACATGACATTACTTTTCATAATATAGCAAGAGGAACATTTCAATCATGACCTTCTGCTCCCTACCTTGTACAATTATGTTTGCTGTGGCTTGAACAGAGCCTTGGTTATTGCTGGCATGGCAGGTGAGTGGACCCTGATCTTGTAGTACGATGTTCGGTAGGTGAAGTCCCCCAGATGTTACTATGTGCCTGGATCCATCCAGATCCTGTCCTTCAGCTCTGGTCCATGTTACATGAGGATGTGGTTGGCCTGTGGCCATTAGAAAACTTGGTTTGGCTAGGAGTAAAAAGGGACAAAACAATGAACAGACAATAACAGTTAAAGGATTACTTATCCTGCATTATATTTTAAAACTAGTGTCGTGTTCACAATTATCTTTATAGTGCAACAGTATATGCACACATCAAGTCCTAAAGAATTAAGGTTAAAAATATAGATTTGATATAAATATATATTTTTAAGACCATTTGTCAATATATTGTAAATATGTCAGTGTGCTCACCAAACACCTATTCTCCATTTCAGAAGCTAAATATTCAAATGTTCCCATTCAAAATTATTCCCTTTTTAATGCCACCCACACACACGCACACACAAACACACACTACACATTGGAAAAAGAAAGAAAGTTCCACCAATAAGATTTAAGCAGTTATCATCAGGAAAGGTGAGTTTCTGTAACAAACAAAATAATATAGTCTACCAAGTTAATATTCTGTCTTCTACTTCCTGTTTGGAATTTGGGCATGAGCTAGATTTTAGGAACCACCTCATAACCAATTGGAGACAATCGTGAGGTGAAAAAATAGGCCTACATTTCAAAGATCAAAGAGAAAGACAGACAAATGCCATCTGTTCATTGGAGACTATGACAACTCTGTACAGATTTCACACAGCCTTTCACACACATCCTCATGCCATACCAATACCTACACAAATAAGCACACATACACTAATGCACTAATACATTCATGAGAAATAGAACAATGGGATAAGTTCATTTGGCTTCAAAACTATTTTGAAACATATATTCTCAATGAACTTTATGAGGACTCCTTTTACAAATGTATTCCAAAAAATGTTAGCTCCAAAATAAACCATCTTTCTAATCCATTTTCTGTGAACATTTTGAAGTACATTGTGCATCACAGTGCAGTTATGCCATTTCTAATGTAATTTTCAGTTATTTTCAGCTAAACATATCACACTTTGATTCACCAAGGCTGCTTATAAATAGAAAATTTAGATTTGCATAGGTGTTCCACTCTTGCTAATTCATAACAGGTTCTTTGTGTCATGACATTCTCAAGCAGAATCTAAATACTTCTAGGGTTAATACCCATCGTTTCAATTTACGTTCTGGGGCTCCTTAATTGCAGAACATGCCCTGGAGAGTAGATAGAATTGATTTTGTCCAATTAAATAAACAAACAAAAAACTTGTGATTTCATTCAATTAATACAGTACTGAATTTTCTTTAGTATAATAGTGGAAAAATAGTGGGAACATAAGCTATGAACAAGATACACATCTTTCCTGTTTGCTCATTGTCTAGCTAGAAAAAGAGAGGGTAAACAAGTCTATATAATTATAATACATCTTGGAAGCACTCATCTTACACTTAAGTATAATCATGCTGTGACTTCTGTATTGTTGATCCCCACCCACCCATATGGTGAAATACTGAGTACTTAGGAATAAGTCAGTGCTGAGATACAGTAGCATATTTTCAGTTATTTGGGTCAAGGGACCACAGCTCTACGAATATATTAACAAATATATTTTTGCAGAACTTGATTAGTGATCACTGGTGACTGTTTATGCAGTTAGTCAGTCTCATTTGTCCTCTCCTTGTTTCACATGTGTTTGCTTGGTCTTCTTCAATTTCACCCATGGTGTCATGATACAAACCAGTAGGAAACCTCTTCTGGACGTAACCATTCAAAATCAGATCCCAGTACTATGAGTCAAAGCAAACTTATTTCCTTTATAAAAATCCCATATGTTTTCCTGAAGACACGGAAGATGAACTAGGATGAAATGCTAAAGGAACAGACACAGGAGGAAAGGGACCATAGAGGAGAGGCTACCAAATGTTTGAAATAAGAAGTGTGTTCAAGATTAGTCAACAGCAATGTAAATGGAAAGGAGGTGGATCAGATACCTGCTGGAACTCAATCTGTAGAGAGCTGAGGGAGGAAAGGTAAGATGTAGAGTACCTGATAATAACCAGTGAGTTATATTTTGTAACAGCAAACACATGATGAAATGCCTCAACATGGGCAACTACACTAGCGGGCTGAGGATTTATGTGTGAAGATCAGTTGGAAGGAAAGGTGGTGTCATCTAAAATTGCAAGAAAGATGTCAGTAACGAAAATGCATTTTACAGTGGTTATTTTTTAGAATTTGTCTTATTTCTACTTGAAAGGTGGACTTACAGGGAGAAGAGACAAGGAAAGAGATCTGCCATTTGCTGGTTCACTCCCCAAACAATTGCAATGTCTGTAGCTGAGCTGAGCTGATCTGAAGCCAGGAGCTTGAAGCTTCTTCCAGGTCTTGCACGGGCTACAGTGGTTCCGAGGTCTGGGCCATTCTCTGTTGCTTTCCCAGGTCATTAGCAGCAAGCTTGACTTGAAATGAATCAGCCAGAACACAAAGCACTTGTATACCAGATGCTGGTACAGCAGGTGAGGCTTAGCCTACTTTATCACATAGCCAGCCCAAATTTTACATTAATTTTTAATATTGAATACTTGGGATTATCTTTAAATTTCATGGGCTCTCAGAGGAAGGAGGAAAAAAACATGATTGAGGTATTTCAGATTACAGGAAGATAGAAGAAAAGGGAGAGTAGCTAAAATGACACAACACACGAGGCAGGAATAAAAGACTAGAAAGGACGAGAGCAGTGATAGCCTGAAAGCCAAGTTAGAAAACCCCTGGGTGCAGTGTCAAACTTGACCTAGAGAGGAAAAGGAGCTTATGAGCTGGTAAACTGAAAAGCACATGTGAACTGTTAGAATGCTTCCCACGTTGCTCAGTTTCCAACTCAGATTCCATTTTCTCCTGAAGTATCACTCAACTCAGTGCATCTTCTCTATTTGTTCAGACACTATTCAGTGCTGCAACCACTGTCTAAAACATGACAAACAGGCGACTGACAGTCTTACCTTCAGGGACTTCCTCCTTGACCTCTGGGCTATCTCCACAGACATCTTTGTAAAACTCATTCTGGTCACCCCAAGAATACAGTCATGATGAGTCTGAATGCTCTGACCTCGTCTGACCGTATCACCTATGTGCAAACTATCAGTTCAATACCCTTAAAAGTTTCTGCTGCCTCTTTGTTTGACTGAAAAGAAATATATATTTGAGGGAAGCATGGGAGAGAGAGAGAGAAAGAGCTCTCCCTCTGTTGTTTCATTCTCCAGATGTCATCAACAGAACATCCTGAAGTTAGGGGCCAGAAACTCAATACAAATTTCCTACTTGGGCCACGGAGTCCCATGTTCTTGTGGCCTCACAGTTGCCTGTAAGAGTCTGCATTAGCAAGAAGTTAGAGACAGGAGGCAGCTATGGAACCTAACTACTCCACTGTGGACCACGGGCTTCACCTAACAGGTGCCCTTAATATCTGCTTCAGTTTGCATTTCTTGAATATAGCCCTCTCTGTCTTCTTTAATGCTTCCCTTTCTCCTAAAGTTGTGTTTCAATCTTACTTATTTGTCTTTCTACCAATATGGTCTTGCTTTCAGCTTGAGTTTCATTGTTCCTGAATGAACACAGCTGTCCAATTTTGTCCCACATGCTCCCCTCCCAATCAGTCTCGAGTTTCCCACTTAATTATTGACATCATTAAGCTCCACCAACTACACCAGTGTCACCTCTACTGCTATTGTTTCTCATCCAAGACTTGAGGGGTTTGTTGGAGCTGGCTATTGAGACCAAACTTTCAAATTTCAAATATCTTGCAAATGGATATTTAAAACATATGCCATTAAAAATAAACCATACAAAATCATAAATAAATGCTTTAGGATTGAGGTTAACAAAATCAGAAATTCATTACTTCTAATTATTTGACTACATTCTATCATTCATGGTCTTGATATTGCTACTGTCTGTTTTGTTACAAGGTGAGATTACTGTGTATTAATGAGCTTTTGTACCTTCCCAGCTCAGCATTCAATGACAGCACCCCAGTTACTACACAATGACCATGCTCTGGATTGTTCATGCCATAGAATATAGAAAATGTCAAAAGTCAGTTTTTCCTGCTAAGAGCCAATTTTTAAGCATTTATGGGCATACCTCTGGTTTTAAGCTCGTATGCCCTCTTTTACGCATCATAAAAATATATAATTTTGTCGATCCATGAGCTATAATCTAATAGAGTTTAAGCTGAATAAGAAAAAATATATGACCATTATCTCAAAATAATATTAATGAAAAAGTGTCAGTCACTGTGTCTGGTTTATATGAGACATTGAAATTCTGACAAAGCAAATATAAAAAGTCTAAAGCATGTGCTCATTAACCATGTGGTCCTCAGTGGCTGGCTCAGTTGCCCTTCAGTAAATGTTTGTTGAATGAATTCCTGAGGAATTAGGCAATGAAAGATTTCTGAAGAGTGAAGCCATTGTTTGAATGCCACTAGTTGACTCTTACAGGCATGCAGGGAAGCATAAAGACAAGAGCAAAGCCTCAGAATCACATTTGTTGCAAGAACAGAACTCAGGCAGAAAATTATAATTGACTTCAAGAGAAATTTTCTCCTGCGTCTGTACAACAAGATGAGGAAAATCACAGTCAATGACCAAAATCTCACTTTGAAGAAGCGCCATCGGGTCATTTTCTCATGCAAATTGCTGAAGGAGAATTGGTGCAATTTTCTTAACATCAGGCAGAAAATCGCAAGCTTTACCTGGAAGGCTGGAATATTGGAGCACAGCACTGTGGCTCTGGGCCTCACCGGCCGAGTTTCTAGCCATACACTGATTTACACTGATATACTCCTTGGTCTGACTCTTGGGCATTTCGCATCATGAGTGTCCCATCATCGAACATGTTAAGCTGAGTGTCATATTCCAGCTCCAAGGAGTGACTGTAAATACATGTTATTGATTACTGAACAACTCTTATATTTAAAACTTCTAATAATATAGAGAATATAGAACTTTTTAGTTTTATACATTTTTATTTATATAAAATGAGTAAATTTAATATATTTCGTGCTTATAGCTTTAAGAACATAATGATACCTTGTACCTTACTCTTCCTGCCTTCTTTCCTCTTTCCCCTTCCTCTTTTTTCCTTTTTTATTTTTCTTTCAGTTTTTGCAATAACGCTTCCACTTTACTTTATAATCACAACTTTAACCTTCCACTAAAGGAAGAATTTAACAAGTAGAAAAAAAACCTGTTCCTTGGGAGTAGATTCATTGATTTATTAACATTTTTATAGAAATAATTTAAATTATTTAAATTCACAACCCTGTTGTGCCCTTATCATTTTAGAGATTACTTCCTGAACACTGAGTCACTCTATAGAAGGACAGGACACTACAATATTTGCCATGGACAACATGAATTCAGACATTGACTCAATCCCTTACATCTGAAGGAGACTTTAGTACGTTTTCAAGTCTTTGAATTACTATTTTTTAATGTAACCTTTTCAAATGTTTCCTGTGAGTCAGTCAGTGTGTTCTATACTCTGGTAAAATGTAAAATAAATATTTGTATTCAAGCCAACATATCTTACAGCCCAGTATACTCATATGACTCAGCATTAAATAAGTGCATTCCAGTTACCACCTATTGGATATTTGGCCCTTTCATTTTTTACTTGATGTGGATAACTCTGAATATAAAAGTAGAAAACTGCCATTTATCAATACAATGGATAATTCATTAAGTATCAATAGATTTAAACAAGGAGTATCAGAATGTACCTATAATCACAAATAATTGAGAGTTAAAATGAGTTCATTTTAGCAACAAACTCAAAGCCATTCACATTAATATATACCAGTAATTTTTACAAATTCTTCCCTAAATTAATTCCACAAAATTGCTTTCTTTGTTAAAGATATCTGATGACTGGGGCCAGTGTGGTGGCGTAACAGGATAATCCTCTAGCTGTGGTGCCAGCATTCTTTATGGGTGTCAGTTCATATCCTCACTGCCTCACTTTGGATCTAGTTCCCTGCTTATGACCTCAGAAAGCAGTGGAGGATGTGCCCAGTTCTTGGGTCCCTGCAGTGGGAGACTCAGAAAGAAGATCCAGGATCCTGGCTTTGGACTGACTCAACTCAGGTCATTGCAGTCATTTGGTTAGTAAACCAAAAGAGAAGGGGTGTGTGTGTGTGTGTGTGTGTGTGTGTGTGTGTGTGTGTCTGTAAATGAATATTTTAAAAATATTTAATGACTATGTAAGAGATACAGATTAATGTTCAGCTTTAATGCTAATGAATATTTTAACCATAGAAAAAGGAAATCTATCCCTCTCATCATCCATCACTCAATGCATTTTTATTAACATCAACTACAAGTCAGCCACCAAATACACAAATACTGCAACACACCTCAATCTATTCTTGCATATGTAAAAACAATAAATCATGTAAAAAAACAAATAAATAATCCTTCTCATTTAATAATGTTTGTCATAATGGCTCTGGAAGGAGCAGACAAGGGCCTTTTTTATTGCTTTTTAGCACAGAAAAGCGAGAACAGTAGACAGATTGATGAGATTTGTCGTCCTTCAATCACCAGGTGGGAAAAGCCTGACATGAAGAGAAAATACCAACTACTCAAATGAGAACCTGAAGATACTGTATTTAAAAGGTTAACTGCAGCTATGTAAGGCGATGTGAATAGATAATGGTTTTCCCTACAAATATAAGCTGCCAAAGTCATATATTGTACATAGCATGGGAAGAAAAAAGAAAGCAATTGCCCAAATTCAGATGTCTCCTATAATACTTGGCTGCTTAGTTATCACAAACACACTCCAAAAATTATCTAACAATAATATGCCACAAATATTGATATGCTAACAACAATGAAATCCATTTCACATGATTTATTTTCTATTTTCCTAAAAGCTTATTCTCAAACTCCACACCCAATTTTCAAGGGCTGCCAGATGTTGACAGCTATGTGTCATCTGGCTAGGCAGTGCAACAAAACCCACTGAAATGCACTATTTTAAAAATGATATAAAATGGACAGCAGCAAACTCTGCCCATAAATTTAAAAATGCATTATCCCCTTTTTTCTGGTTATTTCCCTCTGTTGTCAGATCTTCATTATGCTCATAAAACTTGTTTGCTCATAAATCATGATGCTTCTTCAAAAGATTCAAGAAGACAGATGTTTATTTTACACATAGTTTCTTGCAAAGTGGGTAGCAATCTCATGTGAAACACGAAGGTTCATGGGGCAAGTGTGTTGGCTCAACTGGCTTAACTAGCTAATCCTCCTCCTCCAAGTGCCCACGTCCCATATGGGAACCCATTTGAGACCTGGCTGCTCCACTTCCCACCCAGATGCCTACTATGGCCAGAAAAGCAGTGCAGCATAGCCCAATGACTTGGGACCCTACAGCAAAGCAAGAGATACAAAAGAGGCTTCTGGCTTCCAATTGGCTCAGCTACAGTATTGCGTCCATTCGGGGAGTAACCCAGAAGATAGAAAATTTTTCTTTCACTTCTCTATTTAAACCTGCATTTCCAATTAAAATAATAAATAAATAATATTTTAAAAATAAAAAGGTTTGCAAATTTTAAACACTGTTATTTTTCTTGGAAGATCTTGAAGATAATGCATTTGGCTTAATGAATATCAACAAACCCCCATTAGGATAATTAACGCAGTCAGGATTTATTAACTGCTTTCTGAAACCTGAATGTTATAATTAGAAATATGGAATATGATAATTTTATCTGATACAAGAAGTTCTTAAAAATCTATATTTCAAGTTAATGAAAAACATTATTTTATGAAAAAATACAGATTTCACAATTTTTAATTTCATTTTTTCATGACATTCTTGAAGTCCCTGTGTCTATCATCCAGATTCTAGCTATGTTTAAAAATCCCTTCTAATTTTTTCTGAAATAGTAGCACTAATATTTCTTGCTAGAGTTACGTTTGTGTCAATTTATTTTTTATTTACTCTTTTTTTAAAATATTTTAGATGATGTTTACATAGTTGATCAGGATGGGAAGGATTGAAAGTTAGAGAAAAGTGGGTGTGATCAATGTTTCCAAACTTTCTATTATCTTCCTATTTCTGGGGGGAGGGGAGATATAAGGAGAGAACCCATTTCCAGTCTTTCAACCACCATAGGATCTGAGTGTAGGGAATGGCCACCCAATATCAACCCAGGGTCCCAATAGGGTACAGGCTCTGAGAGTTCTGCCCAGGTGGATACGATAGTTTTGAAATGTTCTCAATCTTGCCAAATCTATGGATGAGAAATCCTTTCCCATATCCATTGGGCGACACAGTTGACCTTAGTCACCATTTGCCCAGATATTTGCTGTCATTGTTTGTCTTGGATAGTTGTCCAATTTGTTCTGTTCTCCTTCCTCTGTTATGGTACCAGATGTCCTCTGCAGGCCTAAATGGGCTACCATATCCTCTATGTGCACCATGGCCAGCTATCCAATGCTCCATCCTTTCCACTGAGGAGAACCGTTCTCACAGTTGGGCCCACATCTGGCCAGACCTCCAACTCCCGGGCTCCTGGACTTGGCAGCCACCATGAAGGTGGGCCAAAGAACCTGGGCAAGACAACCTGAGCCCTGCCAGAACCCCACCCCTGGAGCTCTAGGACCCAGCATCCACTTCTCAGCAAGCCCAACGACAAGGGTTAGGATACACAAGACCCGTCAGATGCCACAGTGACCATGAGAGCCAGAATGGAGTCATTGAATTAGGCTGCAATCTCCCTTGGCATGGGTGTGGACTGGGTCTGGGGAGCTCCAGACTGGGCTAAACTCTATCACCCAGTGATAGGCGTGAGAGTCAGGGTGGGTGTAGAAAAGGCTGGACTAGGTCTTGGTTCCTGCTGAAGCACATGAGAGCTCTGTCAGGGTATGGACCAGGTGTAGCTGAGCTGTAACACCCAGAAGTAAGGACCAGAAAGAATGTGGGCCAATTGGGTAAGGACGCTGTTCCTGTCAGGACAAGAGGTATACAAAGCCAAACTGGGCCAAGGGGCCACTGGTGTGCCCGAGATCTGCCACTAGGAGATTGGATAGAAGAGCTTGCAGAACTCTTGTGTATTGCAGTCCCCACAGGTAAGCGCAAGAATCAAGGCAAAGAACAGCCCAAACTAGGGCAGGTTACAGTTGTCACCAGCATACATGTGGATCAGGTCTGGACCAGGTGGACCAAGCCAGTTCATAATATCCACTGGCAAATCTGAAAACCAGAATGGGGTGCAAGAAGGTCTGCGTTGGGGCACAACACCAGCCAGTTTACACAGGAGCCAGAACAGGGGGGCTGACTGGGCAAGGATGGGCTGCCATACTAACCAGCATAAGCTGGAACTGGGGACAAATTGGACAAAAGCAGATTGAAACACTCAGCAGTAGAAACCAAGGTAAGATGAACCATGCTAGTCTGGGGGTGGTGCATGAAGGGTCCATGAGCCCCAAGGATGGAGAGGGGCCTGGTTGAGCCCAGTTCAGCTGGTCCAGGCCCTTCAGCCTGCCTGCAAGGTGGGTATTAGGTCCATGAGCTCCAGGTGTGGGGTTCAAAAAGGCCTGATTAATATGGCTAGGTCCTTGAGCCTACCAGCATGGTGGATGCCAGGTCCACTAACTCCAAGGGCCATGTTCACCTGTCCTCGGTTCTTGCCCCTGCGTCCAAGGCGCATATTGGATCTATGAATCCCAGGGTTGGGGAATCTAGTATGGCCTGGGTTGCCCGGCCTGGGTCCTTTGGGCCCACCTGTGCTATGGATGCCAAATCCATGAGACCTAAGGATAGTGGGATCTGATGGATTCCAGGTCATCTTGCCCAGGACTTTAGCTCACCTGTGTGGTGGGTGCTGCGTTCGTGAGCCCCAGGATGGCAGGTCCTGGGTCA